GCGCACGGAGGGGAGCCCGGGGCTCGGCGGTGCTGGCGGGGTCAGTGCGGCAAGGCGGGGGGTTCCCGGTGCACCGGCAGCGTCGCTCCAGGCTCCCGGCCGTGCCAAGGCATGAGGTGCCCTGTGCCGGGGCGATGCTGAGCTGCTCTGTTGCAGGCGTGGGTGCCCTTTGCCCAGCTACGCATAAGCCTTGCGTGCCTCAGTTTCCCCACTTGCAGGTGGGTCGCTTGGCGGCGGCACGGGGGGATCCCCGAGGGCTCGGCAGTGCCATGCCTGAGGGGGTTCTGCCCGCGGCCGGGGGTGTCCCCGTCACCCCAGGCCCAGGGGTGGGATGAGGTGCCCCCCCCAAACCTCGTGTCCCCCCCCGCTAAGGCTCCGTGTCCCCGCAGGAGACTCTTGGGGGATCTTCACCTTCCTCTGCGCCGCGCTCTGCAACCTGCCGGCGCTGCCCGCCCTGAACTGCACGGAGGAGCTGGGCGCCGGCCAGTCCATCCAGAAGACCTACGACCTGACCCGCTACCTGGAGCACCAGCTCCGCACCCTCGCCGGCACCTACGTGAGTAGGGGCTCACCCGCACCGTACCCCTGCCCTGCGGCACCGGGGTGGGTTGCCTCGTCCACGCCCGTCTCCCATGGGAAACGCTCTGGCTGGTTGGGGCTCCCCGGAGCGGGTACACCCCACCAGGGTCCTGTGCCCACCCGCTCCCTGGCTCTGTGTCCCCCCACGGCACCGCCAGCACCAGGGTGAGGGTGTGCACGCGCGTGGGAGCGCGCCTGTGTGCACACTGCGGTGCTTGCACGTGCGTGTGCGTGTGCGTCGGTGGGGCTGCGTGCATGTGCCTGCACATACGTGTGTGTGTGTGTGCGCGCATCAGCGGGGCTGCGTGCGTGCTCGTACATACGTGTGTGTGCGCATCAGTGTGCCTGCATGCATGTGCCATGACGTATACGTGTGTGTGCGCATTGGAGTGCCTGCACGTGTGTGTGCCTGCACATACGTCTGCATCGGTGTGGCTGTGTGCGTGCATACCTGCACGCCTTTGCGCATGTGCCTTGGTGTGCCCGCACGTTCGTGTGGCTGCACACATGCATGCCTGCACACCTTTGTGCGTGTGCATCCATGTGCCTGCACATACGTGTGTGCTTGTGCATCAGTCGGGCTGCACACATGCACGCCAGCACATACATGTGCGCATTGGAGTGCCTGCACGCGTGTGTGCATGCATGCTCACCGGTGTGCCTGCACATGCCTGTGCGCGTGCATTGATGTGCTTGCACATACGTGTGCATTGATGCGCCTGCACACACGTGTGCATCCGTGTGCCTGCACATACACGCGTCCGCATCGCTGATCCTACGCACGTGCACGCCGGACACGCGTGTGCCGTACCGCGCCCTGTTGGTGCAGGTGACTCACGTGCCCTCACCCGCTGCTGGCGGTGCCGGTGCTGCCCGCCCTCCCCGGGGGCTGTGGGTCCCCCCTGCCGTGCCCAGCTGCACCCACGCCGGGGGCCGAGGAAATGTCTCATCAGCTGAGGGCAGGGGCCTGGGAGCCGCCCTGCACCCCGGGGTGCAGGCAGGGGTGCAGGCATCTGCCTGTCCCTGCCCGCCGGCAGCACCGGCTCACACAGAGGTTCCCCATCTCTGCCCTGACGTGCCCCCGGTGCTGCCGGCTCAGCCCCGGTGCTGCCGGCACGTGGGGTGACGAGGGTGGTGGTGCTGCCGTGGGGCTGGGTGCAGGGGGGCTCGGCCCCACCCGTGGGTGCCTCCAGGGCTGCGGCCTGGAGCTGTGGGCGCGATGAGCGGGGATGGGGAGACCGGGGGTGTTGCGGGGAGGGGGACGTGGAGGCTGGGGACGTGGGTGGGAGGGAGACAGGGAGATCTGGGACATGTGGGCACATCCACCTGGGGGACGTGGGACGTGGTGGTCATGTCCACCTGGGGAACGTGGGATGAGAGCAGGAGGACACGGAGACGGGGGACACGATGGGCACGGAGACCGGGGACATGAAAGGGAAGGGGACATGGTGGGCACGTCCACCTGGGGGACATAGAGACTGGGGACAAGGTGGGGAGGGGGACATGGAGACCTGGGACATGATGGGAAGAGGGATGTGATGGGCAGGGGGACATGGTGTGCAGTGGGACATGGAGATCTGGGATGTGTTGGGAATGTCCAGACTGGGGACACGGAGACCTGGGATGTGGGGGACGTGGGGACCAGGGACGTGGTGTGCAGGGGGACATGGAGACCTGGGACATGACGGGTATGTCCACCTGGTGGCCATGGAGACTGGGCACCTAATGGGAAGCGGGACATGATGGGTAGGGGGACATGGAGCCCCGAGACGAGGGGGGTTGTGCCCAAATAGGGGACACCAAAACCTGAGATGTGGGGGACATGGAGGCTGGGGACGTGGTGGGCATGGGGACATGGAGGCTTGGGATGAGGGCGACATGTCCAGATTGGGGACACTGAAACCTGGGGTGTGGGGGACATGGAGACTGGGACATGGTGGGCAGGGGGACACTGAGACCTGGGGGACATGGAGACTGGGATGTGGGGGACATGGAGACTGGGACGTGGTGGGCAGGGGGCATGGAGGCCTGGG